TCAGACATTTCTCCTTTCACTTATTATAGGGTTTTGTCCAAACTTGTTACCTCTACGATCACCGTTGTATGGTTGGTATCGATCTCTACTAGACCTTGGTTTACGGTCAATGTCTCTTTTGGATCTGTCACTAGCTTGAACATGATAAATAGACCCGGAAGGGGCCCCAAGCTGATCATCTTCGACCCTAATTTTTTATTGATACCGGTTATGCACATCGACACAAGTTACAGCTGGATATTCTACTAGATTTTGCTTCAACTGCTGCAAAGCCAATGAGCTCCGAGTATTGAGTCCTTGAGTAAAGGCCTAAACGGCGCAATCATTTGCCATTGGTGGCAGGTCCATCCTTTCCATTTGAAACCGTAACACGAACTCCTTGAGCCTCTCGTTATCTCTTTGCTTTACCTTAATAAGGTCCAACTTCCTAGTCTCGACCTTGATGGCTCCGGCGTGTGCGTTAACAAAAGCATTCGCAAGCATAGCAAACGAGTCAATAAAATTGGGTGGTAAGTTGTGATACCATATCATAGCTCTTTTTGACAAGGTCTCTTCGAACTTTTTCAACAGGATAGATTCGATCGCATCGTCCTCCAAGTCATTCCCCTTCATGGCGCACATGTAGGAGTCACATGTTCATTTGAGTCAGTTGTTCCGTTGTACTTAGGAATTTCGGGCATGCGGAAATTCTTTGGGACTGGCTTCAGCACTGCGCTTGAAGGGAAAGGTTTCTAAACAAAATTTTTGGAATCTAGGCCTTTCAGTATCGGTGGTGCTACCGGGATTCAGTCGACCCTAGAGTTGTAGGTCTCCACCTTCTTGTCGTTGGCTTCAATTTTAGTTTCTCCCGTTTCTACCCGTTTTGTCAATTCCTCGAGTATCTTTATTATCTCAGGGTTGGTCCCGGGTTCAGCTTCATTTGGCTAATCTGTGGCTGGTTCATTTCAGCGAGTGTTTTCCCGGGATGGTTTGGGCTCAACTCTACTGGGTCTGCGGCTTTGGTTCTGCAATTGGGTTATTGCTCCCTGCTGAGCCTGCAGCATTTTGAAGATCACCCACAAGTTGACCCCATCTCCTTCACCGTCACGTGTATGTTTGGCTACCGATCGGACTCCCCCGCAGACGTGCCAACATGTGAGTTGGCATCGATTAAGTCTGCAGCCGAAATTTCGTTGGGATCGATTGGGGGCACCTCATTACGGGGCACCACATTGTTGTTCTTGCCATGGTGGTCAGACTCAGCATCCATGTTTAGAGGGGCAGATTGGGAGTTCGACATTTTAAACTTTGACCTGAAATCAATGATTGTAATGACCTGATAGGTCATCTTATATTTTAGAACCTAATTTTGTGTTTTGAAGCCTCAAAAATATCATCTTAGCCCTCCTCAATTTACGTGCACTATCCGGGTATTTTTTTCGAAAAGCTTTAATGTTAAAAACTGATAAAAATAAGAATTTTGCCTTAAAAATTAATTTGAGTTGACTTAGGTCAACGTTTTGAGCAAATAGAACCGGATCCATATTTTGACAGTCCTAGTGGGCCCGTATCGTGGTTTGGGACCTGGGCGTATGCCCGAAATCGAATTCGGAGGTCCCTAGCTTGAGTTATCAATTTTTGACAAATTGTTTTATAATAAATCACTGATAACAATGTTTATTTTTGAAATATATATATATATATATATACATATACACGCACACACAACAACAACAACCCAATGAATCCCACTAGTGGGGTCTGGAAAAGGTAGTGAGTACGCAGACCTTACCTTTACCCTGAAGGGATAGAGAGGTTGTTTTCGAAAGACCCTCGGCTCAAAAGAACAAAAGACAAATATAGACAATATTAGTATCACCACATAAATCATAAGAAAGTCATAAGAAAAATAGGAAAACGTGAAATACGGAAGAAAGAGGCAAAGCAAAACTGATAGCAAGTAAATAGGTCATGCACTGAAAAATAATAAGACACAACATTGCCACTAGCTATCTTAGACAAAAACCCTACTAGACTAGTCTCACAGCGGTATTAGTAAGGCAAGACTCAACTACCTCCTAACCTACAACCTTAATGCTCGACCTCTACAACTTCTATCAAGTGCCATGACCTCGGAAATCTGAAGCCTCGTCATATCATGTCTGATCACCTCTCTCCAATACTTCTTAGGTCGCCCTCTACCTCTTCTCGTTCTCTCCACAACTAGTCGCTCACGCCTCCTTACCGGAACATCTAGGCTTCTCCTCTGAACATGTCCAAACCATCTGAATCTCGCTTCCCGCATCTTGTCATCAATGGGAGCTACGTGCACCTTCTCCCGAATGTCATCATTCCTAATCTTATCCATCCTAGTGTGCCCGGTCCACCTCAACATCCTCATTTTTGCTACTTTCATCTTCTGGATATGTGAGTTCTTAACAGGCCAACACTAAGCCCCATATATCATTGTCGGTCTAACCACCGTTTTATAGAACTTACCTTTGAGAATCAGTGGCACTCTCTTGTCACACGGAACTCCAGACGCTAACCTCCACTTCACCATCCTACCCCAATAAGAAAATATTTTCGTTTTTTAAACATTATTTTCAACAAAATATTTTCATTTTTGAATTTTTTTTTCAGTTTTTTTAAAAAAATTGTTTTGTAAAAACTAGAAAAACAAATTTGTAAAAACATAATTTTTTTGTTTTGTTTTTTAACAAAATATTTTCGTTTTTTAAAAACTGAAATTTTAAAAAATAAACTGGAAAAAAATGAAAATAGGGGTCGGGTTGTGGGTTTTTTTAAAAATGGATCGGGTAAAAAAAAGAAATGGGTCGTTTTAATGTGGTGTTGTCATGTGGCACTCCGTCCAAAATAGGGGTATTTTTGTTTCAAAGTATGACAATAGGGGTATTTTTGTTCCAAAGTATAACAGTAGGGATATGGATAGCCCAATAGTATACAGGTAAACAATATTTGAAAGTAGAGAGGTATATTTAGCCCTTTGCGGTTTTGAAAATTGTCGGTTTAGCGTATTGTCCCCTTCATACGTTGTACTTTGCTCCTAAAAATATACATTCTCTGTGGCTTGATTCGGAGTACGAGGGTAAAAGTTCTTAATTTTGATCATGAAATTAGACATAGATTTTTTAAATTTTTTAAAGTAAAATTTACATATTTGAAAAATACATATAAAATATTGTATGCGATAATACTTTATATTTCCAAATACTTATAAAATATTAAGAAAAATTGTGGTCAAAGATGAGCCTCGTAGATTCTCCGGACAGTAACTAAGACACGTAAATTGAAACAGAGGTTAGTATAAAAAGTTACTATGTAATTAAAAAATGAAGACGTCCTGTCATAAGATCAAATGGGGTCAATATATAATGGGAAAAGGAGGAGGACGAATCTGAGAAGGAACTTATATGTAGAGGGGTCAATAGAGAAAATAGAATAACAATTGAAACATATACCGAAATACTCTAGAATAAAAGGACAAAACTCATTTGAAAAAATTGACATCATATTATTTTGTGACCACATGGATTGTGAATTATGATTGACTATTTGACTACTTGGAGTGAAAAATTAAAGTCAACATATTTTGGCATGCGAGTCCAGTACAATCATTGATAATTTGCCAAGTAAGAACCCCAACAGAGTACAACTTGTAAAAAAAATTGCATATTGGTCCTCAGTGAAATTTGTTAACTTAGGGGTCGTTTGGTTGGAATACGATTTATACCGGTATAAGTTATATTGGGATAAGTTATATTGGGATAAGTTATGCTGGGATTAGTTATGCTGGGATTGTTGTTTATTCATTGTTGGGTATGTTGTATTAAGAATGACATTTGTATAATTTCTAAGAAGAATGTATAAGTTATACATGTGCTAATTACCCCACCTTCTATAAGGTATAAGTTATCCCAGTGTTAAAAATAACACCGAGATAACTTAAACCTGATTTGCCAACCAAACAGAGTATTAAGGTACTTTCTTATACCTCATACCAAACGACCCCTTATAGTACTTGAGCTAATTTTGAGAACTACTTTAACCTGGTTGTTGTTGTTATGTTAGTGACGGAAGCAGAAATATTTACCAAGGAAATTCAAAAAGTAAAATAAAAATAAACACATCAAGAAGCTAAAGAGGTTCAATCTATATACATTTTTTTGGTTAAAACATTGTCTCCATTGATCATTTATGTGCAAAAAGTTACATATTGAGTTTGGCATCCCAAAAGTTGTGCATGATCATTGAAATCAGCAAAAGAGTTGAAGATATGGATCATATCACTACTATGGTCTATGGTTGAGACTTACTAGTTTATCAACAGGTCTATTCGCTTCTCTGAAACAATGCTTGATAACAAATCCATGCTCTTCAACTATATCCTGGATCACAGTTACTACTTATTATGTTTACTATAAGTCATCCACTCACATTGATTGCATAATCAGTGTCCAAAATCATACATAAGGTTTTTAAATAAATGAGACTTTACATTGCTCTGACTTTGGTTACATCTTCAACCCTGCTAAATCATTAGATGCTGCATTTTTGAATAAATTCTACTGTACAGCTCCTTCATTGCTGCTATATTTATGCTGTTTGATATTTTAAACAAGGAGATGAATGCTAAAAACAAATTCATATTTTTTATAATTCCAGAGGGCCAGTTGGCACACAATTAGAAACTAGGTGAATAATGAATCCGCCCCTTTATCTTTCGTGCACCTTATCTACACATCATGTGTTGCGTTGTCCAGTGGCGGAGCCACATGCATCCATGGGGTGTCAACCGACACCCTTTTCTCGGAGAATTACACTTGTTTAACTCGGTAATTTAAAATATATATATACTATATAATGACACCCCTTGACTTCTTGGTGAGTTAATTTCTTTATATTTTGACTCCCCTTAATAAAAATCCTGGCTCCGCCACTGGCGGAGTCACCAGTGATCCAAAGCGTCAAGCACTTAGAAACATGCATACTCAAATAGAACCACCCAATAGCTGGAAAAATATATACATGGGCATTGATCTAGTAGCTTGAAGTCTTACATTGTGAAGAAGAAAAGCCCCCCATACAGGATGCCATTTACCATTTCAACTCCTTCCTATACTATATTTGCAGATAAAAAGCATCGAAAATCATTTACAAGATTGTATCTCTCTAGATGATTCTTAATCGCTCAACCGCGTTTCCCTCTAAATACATCTAATCTTCAAAAAGATTATCGGTATCCAGGCACAAAAGCTGACCTACTCTTGTTCTACTGAAGCATCAACCTGAGAAACCAAGCCGAGACAAATTGGACAGGGCGGATCCTGTCTATCTTCACGGTTTGTTCTCCGTTCCAAACAATCAGCATGGTAAAGATGACCACAAGCTAAAACAGCCACAACACAAGTCTCGCCTACAGGTAAATTGTTTTCAAGCATGATGTAAGGGTCCTCCTTCAGAAACTTCTGGCATAATACGCAAAAGAGTTTCCCCGCATCAGATGATATTATCCTCGTTGCCAATGAACTGGATGGAGCTCCTTCTGGTTTATGAACTGCTCTTTGCCTATTCTCTGACCGGAGAATGCAAGGAACGTCAAGTGAGATGTTGGAAAGAGTATCAAAAGATGTGTTTCAAGCTCTAATTTTAAAGTAGATTTAACAGAATCATGCTAGACAGATACAACAATGAAACGAGAAATTCTAATTATGATGTAACATTGAGTTTCTACAAAGGCGAGTCTACATAGTAACATATGGGTTCACATGAACCCAACCCAGTAGCTTTTGCCCGAACCCTGTATATGTATTATGAAATCCACTAAATATCTATAAACATTTAACTGTGAACCCAGTTGTTAATCGTATATTACTCGAGGTCACTGTAGGAACCCATAAAGTTCAAATCCTAGATCAACCTCTGAGTTTCTAATAGAAATTACCTCTTGCCTTGTATCATGGCAAGGAATCGGCCTCCACGAGCACAAAGGTTAATGTGAAACTACTAGGTATTTGTATGAGGTCCAGATTAAAAGAATAAGGGGTCGTTTGGCACATGGGAAAAGAATAATAATCTCGGGATAAAGTTTGGGATTAATTTCATCCCATGTTTGGTTTAGGGTATTAGCTAATCCCGGGATAACTTTTACACTAAAATTGTGGGATTAGCTATCCCATATAGAAGGTGAGATAACTAATCCCATGGGGGATATCCCGGAATAACCCACTATTGTACCAAACGACCCTTAAGTGTTAAGGACATAAGATGCACCTGTGTCATGTCCAGAATCTGAATAGCATTTGCTTGCCATTTTTAAGGACAACTTCTCATCATAAGAAGGTGTATGACCACCATGGGAAGTTGATGCCTCAGCATTAGTAGCAGATCTCCGTCGGGAATAATGGCGGCCATAGTGACGGGGATGCCTCAAAGACTTTAGAATGTCAATATTTCGACGGTGAACAATAGATGACTGTTGGCCTTGGGTTACCTTCACAGGACCATCTACGATATCCGCAATGGATAAGAAAGACTTCATACCACTGTTGTCGACTTGATGAGAGAATTTCTGCTCAACATTGCAAAAAAGGATTTCTTAGAAAGAAGACAAAGTTAACATTTATTTTATCTCTGTCATCAATTGACCAAGGAAGACTGAAAGAAATTATTGAATTCCATTATGAGATGGAGAAACAAGAAAACCTGTTTCGATAATGCATCCATTCTGGGCGAGGGTGGCATCAGGTCTGCAATGACAACTTGTCATTTCTCCAGGAAACTTAAAGAGAAGTGAGAAGTCTAAAACATAGATTTCCTTTCGCTAGTTAGGGGGCGGGCAACTGAGGAATAGAATACAGAGACAACAAAAATCACTCCTAAAATTTTTATGTCATGCTAATATCTCACATAAAAAAAACACTGTAATGTCATAAAGCTTCCATTTCAGAAAAAATCCTGTTCAATTAGAAGAAAAGCAGGCAACTTAGGCTTGAACACATGCAACGTAAAAAGCCAAAGACCAAATCTCCATAGCTTCAGCTTTGAAAAGCAGATTCACTCGACCTGTGCTTGTAGGCTATAGCGAGCTACTCGATATATTAATCGAGGTATACACGTTGATTTGGACACCAGGAGGATAAGGAGGCTTTCTTAATTGTTGGATTCCTAATTACATAACATAATTGTTGAAAATATTCTCAATACTATTCTATACAGTTAACCTAAATATAAAAAATGAATCAAAATTACATTCTATTGTTAACGACATAAAATATCTTGATTTTCAATAGAAACAAAAGAGGATCTCAAACATGGCTACATGTAACAAATATCAAAGGATGGCAACCTTATTCGTCAATTAATGCATAAGGAAGAAAGAAGTTAGCAATCTATGCTAGTCGGCTAGTCCCATCTTGGGCTATAAAATTCACTTCCAGAAGTATCATAATGGCTAGCGATATNATGACTAAATTCTAAACGACCTATATCGTAATATTGAAAGTAAAATGTTCCAACGATCCGATGATAACTTTTGACAAATTGTCAAATATTTTTACAGTTAACTCATATGCCTCAAAAAAGTTTATCAACTTTCACACATTCAATCCAATATAATCATCAAGAACACAACCTCAAGCCTAGACATCACCGTCATAAAAAAATCATCAAAAGCCAACTACTCGAACTTTGGGAAACAGAACCTTGCACTAACATTCCATTCACCAAACTCAGGACACCAAAGTTTGATAGAAGCTAAACCTTCCAACAAAAGGCGATTAGATTATTCATAAGACTGAACCAAGATATGTTCCCAGAAGCAATCAGGTTATAAAAAGTTTGCAAAAATAAAAGAAACGCAATAAGCTTTTTCTAAAAATAGAAACCACTCCTTATTTGTCACCAAACTATCGCCATAGCACCGTCCAATTTTGATGCACAACATTCCCCAACACTTCTAGCACAAAAAAAGAATAATAATAATAATAATAACAAAAACTACAACAACTACTAGCATCCCATTTCAAAAAAGCTTGAGGGCTAGTGGCGCACGATTCGAAACTCGGTGGATAATGGGTCCACCCCTCTAACCTTCTCCACTTAAATACCAGGCTTTTGTTTGCGACAACTACTAGCATCCCATTTTTTTAGAAAAAAAAAATTAAAATGACGGTGGCATCGGGCCAGCTTGCACGCATTTTGACTATTCCACGGCGTACCTTCTAATTCCCATCAGCACAAGTACGAGATAACGACTAAAACTTAGCCAAATGGAAAAAATCACTTTTTGCATTTTTTCCTCCCCTAAAATTCTGAGCCTTAGAACTCGTGGTTGTCCTCCCACTTCATTCTCAACTAATAAATAATGAATTTTTTATACATCCCCTCCTCTTGTAGAATTAAGAAAATTGGTTTGTAATAAACACAATAAATTACAACATGTAAGGCTTATCAACAATCAAATGCCAAAAACTCACAATAAAAAACAAAAAGAAGAAAGAAAAAAGAAATAAAGACCATAAGAAGCATTAATAAGGTATTATACCTGAAGGAGGAGGAGTCTTGTTGAGGTCAGCTTTTCTCTTTCTTTTTCCCATAACTAACTTTAAATATCTGTTCAAAGAAAAATGTAACAAGATTAATAATTCTTTACCCAAAAAAGAAAATCAATGGTGAAAAAAAACACCAAAAAAAATACGGGGTTTTGGGGGTTGAATGGTATAGAGGAGTTAGAGCGGTAGGATCAAGAAAATTCAGAGAAAAATATGAGAAGGTGAAATGTGTCACCACTTTGTGTTTCTGCACCTAGTATAATTTTTTGATTCTCTTTTCTCTTTGATGAAAAAGAAATGCAACGTGTCTGAAGAAACGGCTGTTATGTCTCATTCACTTTTTTTTCTTTTTTCTTTTTTTATTTACCTTTTTTCTACCTCTCATTTTTTCTACTCTTTGATTCTTTTTTAAAATTATAAATTTCTTGGGAACAATTACTCCGAGAAATAATTTTTTAGTGCCTAATAAAAATTATACTACTTGTTAATGTATAATTTAAAAGAAATTATAATTTGATATTTACGAAAGCATATAGTAAGCATGTTTAATTAAATCATTATCACTTGGGCATGTTGTCCGACATCACTAATATTCCATCACAAAAAATGAAGGGACTCTAGTATGGAAAAAGCAAATACAATGAAAATAGAATATTTGAAGCTCAAGTTGAAAAATTTTGCAAAAGTTGAAATTAAGATTGGACATGAATTTTTACTGAACAAAATTTTTTAAATAAATAATGATCTGTTAGTGAAAACAAACTACAATAGCAGAAATAAAGTTTGGATATAAATTTCAACCATAGAGAATTGATGGGAGAGGCTCAAATTAAGCGGAGATGACAAACCTACTTTTATAAAATGCGGAATGAAGAGGGGGACCGGGATATTGTGTTGGATGAATTAGGGGTTTCCGAGGGTCACCGAGGCTTTAGGTACTGTAAGTGCATTAAGGTTAAGGAGGTCGTGGGGGCTATGCGTAAGATGAGTAGGGGCAGAGCAACCGGGCCAACGAAATTCTGGTAGAATTCTAGAGGTGTGTGGGTAGAGCAGACTTGGAGTAGCTGACTGGGTTGTTTAATGTTATTTTTAGGACGACAAGGATGCCGGATGAGTGGAGGTGGAGTACAGAGGTACCATTATACAAGAACAAAGGTGATATCCAGAGTTGCAACTACTATATGGGTACTATAAAAGTTTGGGAGAGGGTAGTAAAAGTGAGGATGAGGAGGACAATGTTTATATCCGGCAACCATTTCAGGTTCATGTTGGGTTGTTCGACTACGGAAGTGATCCACCTTATTAGGAGGTTGGTGGAACAATACAGTACAAGGAAGAAGGATCTGCACATGGTATTTATTAATATGGAGAAAGCATATGACAATGTCCTTATGGAGATTCTTTGGAGATGACTAGAGGTAAAAGGTGTGTTGGTTGCTTACATTAGGGCGATTAAGGACATGTGTGATGGAACTAAAACTCGGGTTAAGACAGTAAGAGACAACTCGCGGCATTTTCTGATTGTTATGGGGTTACACCAAGGATCTGTGCACGGTCCATTCTTATTTGCTCTGGTGATAGGAACTGGCACCCCATATTTAAGGGGAGGTGTTATTGTGTATGTTGTTCGCTGATGATATAATTCTGATTGATGAGACGTGAGGCGACGTTAACGAGATACTAGAGGTTTGGAGACAGGCCCTTGAGCCTAAGGGTTTCAAGTTGAGCATGACTAAGATAGAATACCTGGAGTACAAGTTCAGCACCGAGTCAAGGAAAGTGGGCTTGGATCACACGACATCCCCAAGAGAGGCAGTTTCAAGTAACTTGAGTCGATTATCCAGGGGGATGGGGAGATCGACGAGGATGTCACACACCGTAAAGAGGTAAGATGGATGAAATGGAGGTTAGCATCTGGAGTCTTATGTGATAAGAAAGTACTACCAATACTCAAAGGTAAATTTTATAAAGCGGTGGTTAGATCGGCTATGTTGTATGGCGCGGAGTGTTGCCCAGTTAAGAACTCACATATCTAGAAGATGAAAGTAGCAGAAATGAGGATGTTGAGGTAGATGTGCGGATGCACTAGGATAGATAAGATTAGGAATGAAGATATTCATGAGAAGGTGCATGGGTATGACTCATATGGATGACAAGATACGAGAAGCGAGCTTAGATGGTTCAGGCACATGCGAAGAAGAAGCGCAGATGCCCCAGCCAGAAGGTATGAGCGGTTGGCTTTGACGGGTTCGAGAAGAGGTAGAGGGAGGCTTAAGAAGTATTGGAGAGATGTGATCAGGCAAGACATTGTGTGGCTTCTGATTTTTGCGGACATGGCCCTTGATAGTAAGGTGTGGAGGTCGAGCATTAGGGTTGTAGGTAAGGAGGTAGTTGAGCATTTTTCTACTTCGTACCGGGCGTGTAGCTAGTCTGATAAGGTTTGGTCTTAGGATGATGGCGATTATTGTTGTGTTCACACTATTCTTCCATTTTTTATACTACCGGGCTTTATTCTCTGATTATTGTTATTGCTTTTCATCTATTTTCTTGTTCTTATGATGTTATTATTATTTCTATAGTTTCTGTTGATGGTATTGATATATTGTCTCTTCTCGTCTTCTTGAGCCGAAGGTCTATCGAAAATAGCCTCTCTACTTCCCGGGGTAGGGGTAAGATCTGCATACACACTACCCTCCCAAATCTCACTTGTTAGAATTTACTGGATTGTTATTGTTGTTGTTGCAATTTTAGTATTTCTCTTGAAATTCAAATGCAGAACTTAGTATTTACAAATACTTATGCCCAACCTAATATCTGTAGATACTGAGTTCAGTATTTAAAATTCAAAATTAATATTTCATGGCCATTAGAAGTTACATTTTTTCTGAAAAAGTTGTCTTACGAAAAATAAAAAAATCGGCCTAAAAATAATGGAATGGGCCAATTCGGTAGTCAAAGCGAAGGGCTTGTCGTTAATGCTGAATCATTTTGGGAAAGTGGGCTCAATCAAACATGATAAAAATGGGAATGTTACACAAATAGCCTGTCAGAACTATTTACTTTAGCCGATATTATAGATTATATATTAATTATATATATATATATATATATATATATATTATACTTAAACTATACATTTATTATATATCAATCAACTATTTTTAGTTTAAGATATTAGGTTGAACGGCTATTTGAGTTAATTCGTCCAGTATTATTCTTTTCTCTTCGTTAATTTTGATGACAATATATTTTTTGACGACTTGAACGTGGATTACTTTGATTTTCAATGCCATATGTACAGCTTTTTAGATGCCTACCTATTTTCACTAAAACCAAAGTAGCAACGAATGAAATGATTGAATGAAGTTGGGCTTGGGCCTCTCCTGGGATGATAATGAAGGACAAAGTACACAAATAGCCCTTTTTAGGATCCATATTTATAGAATAATCAAAAATTATTAAAAAAAATGATGAAATTATGGGTCTATCTATATTTATACTATATTAAAAGAACGAAACCCGTTAACAAAATGTTTTTCGCCTTTTTTATACTTTAATAATCGCTTTTACAATAGACAAACTTGTAATTTAAACTATTTTTCTAATATTTAGTACTTTAGATCAATTAAAATTTTGCATATTAAATCTTTCCTTATTAAACTAAGTAAGAATCCTAATATTTAAGAATTTAAAATCAATAAATCTTTTAGCTTTTATAAATTGTACTAACTGAAAATAACTCCTTCGTGCAATCTTATAGAATCAAGAAAAGAACTTATACGTTCTCTTCAAGGATTTCTAATTAAATTGTAACATGGGGATATAAAATTGCATATTAAATCGACATTATTTAATACAATAATATCTAAATTAAAATTATTTCAACGCAAATTAATTAAATATTTATTTTAAAATTCTCATTTTTATCAACAACAACAATAACAACAACAAATTAATATAATCTCATAAGTGGAGTGTAGGGAGGGTAAACTGTAAACAGACCTTATCCATATGGTGAAAGTAGAAAAGTTATTTTCGAAACACCTTCAACTCAAAATTCTCATTTTAGTCATACAAAATAATTAATCAAGTTCAATTAAGAACCCAATATAATTACTTGATACCACATTTAATCCTACTACATTATACAAGCCTAAATATATATTATAAAATTAATATCTATACAAAATATTGATTGGATTTGTATCCTTTAAAAGTAAATTTCATATTGAACATATAAGACAATTATTTTACTACTTTTTAAGACTTTAGAATCAATTAAAATATTAATTATTAAATTATTTCTTATTTGAACAATGTAAAAGCAGTGTCGAAGCTACCAATTTTTTCAAGAGCAGTCAAATTTAAAAGAAGTAAAAAAAATTCTCGACAAAGGATATTTAATAAGGGTTATATACCCCTCAAACGTAATATTTTACCTATCTATCTATCTATCTATCTATACTATATTAAAAGCACGAAGACACTTAGAAAAATGTCGTTTGTCTTTTTTATCCTTTAACAATAGACTTTATATTAGATAAAATTATAATTTTATTATTTTTTTAATATTTAGGACTTTAAAATCAGCTAAAATCTTAGTTATTAAATTTTTCCTTATTTGAATTATGTAAAAAACTAAATATTTAGGACATTAAAACAATATTATTTTGGGGAAAAGGGAGTATTGCGTTTCTTTTCCTTACATTTGCTTACGAAAATATTTATGAAATGTCTGACCTTTATTCTTCTTACAGATTAGTGTACTTAGAATTCTAAGGGGAACCTTATGTATATTATTACTGTTAAAAATTTATACTTAATTAAGTATTTTTAAAATTAGTGAATGTAGATTTCAAATATTACACAAAAAATTAATAAAAATAAAATATTATTTGAGTAGGGAAGGAGTTCAAAAATTATTATATTTTTTATATTATTGTAATATTGAGAACAATAATTAAGTTTTTGAATTAATTACTATCTCAGTTTCAGTTTATATAAAACCTTTTACTTTTTCGAGATTCAAATTATATAAAATTTGACCAAAATATTTAAATCTTTTTCATCGTATTGACATGAAAATATTGCAACTTATAGTATTTCTCGTATAATTTTTGAATATCTAAAATTTAACTTTAAAATATCAAATTAAGCTAATCTAATTTAGCTTTAAAGATTAGTCAAATTAACTCTTGAAAGGCGAAAAGATTCACATAAACTAGAAAG